TATATATATATATATATATATATATATATATATATATATATATATATGCGCTCTGTTAGGTGATGCACATACCTACACCATATGCAAACAATGTTTAAAGGCCTAGTATCCCTTGAAAGATAGTAGGCCTTTCAATTGTTGTTGTATCATTCTTTATTTTAGTTATTTTTCTGCTACTTTATGTTCATATTTTGGGGTCAGAGTCAGTTGTTTTGAGTGTGGTTATAAATAAAACTTCACTGTTTAATCCCTCTCATTTTATCCACATGTGCTCATCGTCTCTGATGTTCCTTTTATTTTTACATATTACTGCACTCTCTCTCTCTTTGAGGCTTAAATCAGTGCCTCTCTCTCCCTCTCCCTGTTGGGGGGTTGTGTGGTTGTAACGTAAGAGCCAGTCATCTCTTATCATCGCCACAGTATTCCCTGAGCGCTCAGCAGACAACATCCCTCCCTCTGCCTCTTCCCTTCTCCACTCTCCTCCTATCTGTCAGCGTCGGCCTCTTTTTGCTCTGCTCTGGATGTTATTCTGAAAAGGAAAAGTCAATGTCTGCTGTCATGTTTTGTGGTTTGAGAAAAGACATGGGGGCAAACAGTGTAGGTGAGTTTGAAATCCAATATGGAAAATTGTTCAATATTTGAGTGAGAGCAGTTTGCAACAGTCGGGGCTGCTGTAGCTCAGAGCTCGGTGCTGCGATCGTTTAATCCTTTGGCTGCAGGTTCGAGCCCAGATTGTGTCGGGAAGAGCATCCTGTGTAAACATGTTGCCAAATCTTCATGCGGTCCACTTGCTGATGATGATGATGCTGCTGCTTTAGGGGTCAGCCAAAAGGAGCGATATCACAACTTTACAGAACCCGCGTGCTTTTCATGCCTCAGCGTTGTGTAGGATCTTCTAGTTGTTCTTGTGTTTGATGATGTGAAGGCAGAGCTGTTTCTTCTTACAACATTTAACACATGGAAGGCTGTTTCTACTTCAACACATGAATTCAGGTTGATGGGACATGTTGCATATTTTTACTGTACTTAGTTACCACATGCATTTGAACTTAGCGCTTTAGCACTTAATGCTGCTGAGTGAGAGGGAAGCAAAATATCAGTTTGCAGAAAAACATGTAGGTCCTCGAGCACAAGAAATACTCCCAAAGCTTAACTTTGACATTTACACGTTGTCTCTTTAGACTAGTTCATTCAACCTTTTCTTCTACAGGTTAGTCTCATTGAGTCACGACGACTCGTTTACAAGAGAGACCTGATTTAAACAAACAAACAAACAAACAAAAAAATAGTGTTCATAGATTTTCATAGATCACTCAAAATTTGCTGTAATTCAGTGAATATGTTTAGATTAGTGCAGCACGGTGGTTCAGTTGGTAGAGCTGTTGCCTTTCAGCTCAGCGAGAGGGTTGCCGGATCGAATCTTAGCTGGGGGTCTTTCTGGGTGGAGTTTGCATGTTCTCTCCCTGTGCGTGCGTTTTCTCCGGGTCCTCCACAGACCAAAAACATGCATGTTGTTTCCTACAGGCCGAGGCCTCCCCTGCAACAGAGATCTATGATTTAAATAAGTAAATAAATAAAAACTGTATATAAATTCTGGGTGCTTGCAACCAACCAGCACTCATGCATTTGTATTTTCTTCTTACAGTTTTTGAAAATCACGACTCATTTTGTGCGCTCAGTTTGCAGAACTATATTTTAGGACGTTTGTCTCGTCCAAGTCAAACCCACTTCAGCTGCCATTCATGATTTCATTCACCAGACTACTTTACAAATAAAATAAGAGGAATATTTAATTATTATTAGCATTTTTTAAAGACCTGGAAAGTTTTTTTGGGCACGGCGAACCAGTGGTTAGAGCTGTTGCTTCACAGCAAAAGGGTTGCAGGTTTGACTCTTGCCAAGGGCCCTTTTGTGTGGATTGGGGTTGTGGTTTTTCTCCAAGTACTCCTCCCACTGACAAAGAACACCTCAGCTGTGTCACTATGGGTGGGTGAGAGCATCAATGGTTGACTGTCGTGTCCTCTCGGTGTGACTCTGTGACCTGTCCAAGGTGAACCGTGCCTCGTGCATGACTGCTGGAGCTGCAGCTCCCCCGTGACCCTGTATGACAGAGAGGGTAAAAATGAATGAATCGTTGACTTTGTTGGAGGAGAGCTCTGAGCAGGCGTCAAAGTTCTGCTCCTGCACCTCTTACATGGGTTAAGACATGATGAAATGAAGATTTGTTTGAGATGCCCACAATGAACCTGTGCAAGAAAGTCTGTCACACGTGAGTCATGTAAAGAAACTGAGAACCCCTGCAAACATTTCAAGACATTTTAGAGACTTCACAAATGCTGTTCATCAAGTAGTCTCCAGCAGTCACAGCCCAGTGGGACAGAGGATCCAGCCCCTGGTGTGAGCACACTAAATGTAGGGGTAAGGCTAGACGGACAAGAACTGAGGTTCACCCAAAGGGTGTCATTCTGGGACTTTCCATAAGACTTCAGAGTTATAACTCAATAAAATAATGCAAAGTGTTGGTTAAGGCTGAAGAAACACAACTGTATTATTAGTAACTGTATTATTAGTAACTGTATTATTAGTAACTGTATTATTAGTAAGAAAATATCAGGGTGTAGGCTGAATTGCACCCCTATGCTGGAAAGCACTCCCTTCTGAAACTATCCAACCATCCATCCATCCATCCATCCATCCATCCATCCATCCATCCATCCATCCATCCATCCATCCATCTA